GCCCAAGAGGGCTCTAAGACGGCCCAAGAGGGCCACCTTCCAGGCATCCCAGAGCGCTCCAGGAACGCGCCAAGAAGGCTCCGAGACGCCCCCGAAACGTCCAAGGGGCCCCGAATCGCCGAAAGGCGGCAATAGACGCCGCCGAGAAACCCCAAGAGAGCCTCAAGAGGCCCGCCAAGAGGGCCCCAACAAACAAACATCGTCCCATCCCCTTGGGAAAACGTGCATTTCTGGCATAGACGACGTTCGGAGGTGCACAGCGTCCAAGACTGCCCAAAAGCGCCCTAAGATCGCCCCAAGGTGGCCCAACATACCCCCAAGATGCGCCCAACAGGGCCCGAAAAGGGTTCCAAGACGGCCCAAGAGGGCCCCGAGACGGCCCAAGACGCCCCCAGAGAGGGAACTCTAAATGACATTTGAAGCTGTCCAGCCCCAGGGGCCATTCCGAGACAGCCAGCAGGCTCCCAATGGGCACCCAAAAATCACCAGAAGCCCCCTAGAGGCCCACAATCAAGCCCCCAAGGCAACCAAACGGTCCTGACGAGGCCTCAAGAAGCTTCAAAACTGCCTCCAACAGGCTCCGAGACACCTGCCAGGAGACCGCGGCGCGACAAGCCATCCAGAGACTTTTCCTCCAACTCCTCCTCCTCCTCCTCCTCCTCCTCCTCCTCCTCCTCCTCCTGTTCCTCCTCCTCCTCCTCGTCCTCCTCCTCCTCCTCCTCCTCCTCTTCCTCCTCTTGTCCCTTCTCATTCTCCGCTTCCTCCTCGTTCGCCTCTTCCTCCTCGTACTTTTCGACAGTACCACCTTCATCCACATTCCATCCTCATCATGTCTTCCTCTCCTTTTCCTCCTCGGCGGCGGCTGAAGAAACTGCGTATGCGTACTCTTATACACCCACCCCCCTCCCCCCAAGCTGCAGCATCCCATCGCGAGCGCCGCAGCGCTGGCGCGAGCGCGGCCCCCCACTGAGCAGACATCTGCAGCGCAAGCACTGTCACTGATCCGCTTCTTCCCGCGCGTTTGCACCACCGTCCTCCCTCCATGCCCCCCGACCCCCCCCCCCTCGCCCCCGATCTACGAGTCCGCCATCCCATTCCCCCCACTCCCACTCCAGCGAATCGCTCTACCACGCAGTCTCACTCATCCTTCGGCCGCCCGCTTTTCCTCCTTCCTCACTGCGTGACCTGCGCTCTCATGCCATTTCCTTTCCCCACCCTCCCCCACCACCTCCTCCGCCACCTCCTCTTCTACGGTCCACCTCGCTCCACACTACGCCTTCTCCACCTCCACCTCCTTCTACTATCTGTCTCTCCCGCTCACGCTCTCCATCAAATAGCCTTTGATGCGGCCTGATGCACAGAACGGGTCCGAAATGCATGCCTTCCTCCCCCCCCACACACACAAACGCCCGGGAACACACTGCAAGACGAGGAAGAAAGTAAGAAGTAGACAGCGGACATATGGAAAAGAAGAGCCAATGATCGCATGCAAAGCCCGCCACCCTCGGACACGAGGGTTCCATCACCGCATCATATGTCCCCTGCGCCCCATCGACAAGCCCCAGAGTGAGCATCCACGACCAGCAAGCCCCCACGAGGGCACCCGAAGTCCAACAAAGCACCACACAACTAGCGACCCCGTGACAAGCGACCGATTCCCCTGACAACTCCCAAGCAATCCAGACGAATCGCCCCATAATCATGCCCCACGCAACGCCTCAGAAAACAGCCGACGCCCCTGCAGCTCAACACCGCCAGCGACCACTCGGCCAGTCGACGCAGCACTACCCAACAATAGGCCGGCGGAATGAGCGAAGCGATTGCGTATTTAACGTGCTAAGAAGAAGACGAACAATACTACCATGGTGCTGATGATGAGGAGGGGAAGAGGAGGATGAAGAGACGGGATAAGGAGTGGAGAGGACAGAAGAATGAAGAGACGGCGGATGACGGGGGAGTGTGCTCATTGTTTTCTCGACTACTACTACTACTACTACTGCTGCTGCTGCTGCTGCTACTACTACTACTACTACTACTACTACTACTACTACTACTACTACTACCACTACGATTACTAGTAGTGCCACGACTACTGATACGACGACTACTACTGCGACCACCACAGTTAACACTACTACTACCGCTACTACTACTACTACTACTACTACTACCACTACTACTATCACGAATACTACCACTACAACGACGACTACTACTACTATCCGTAGTAGTAGGTGGTAGTCGTAGTAGTAGTAGTAGTAGTAGTAGTAGTCGTAGTAGTAGTAGTAGTAGTAGTAGTAGTAGTAATAGTAGTAGTAGTCGTAGTAGTAGTAGTAGTAGTAGTAGTAGTAGTAGTCGTAGTAGTTGTAGTGGTCGTAGTACTCCAACTACTGCTTCTTCTACTAACCCTGCGATGCCTAATAGCATTACTACTACTACCACTACTACTACTACTACTACTACTGCTGCTGCTGCTGCTACTACTACTACTACTATCATTACTACTCGTATTACTTCCACAGGTACTACTATTACTAGTATACTACTATTACTACTACTACTACTACTACTGCTACTACTACTACTACTACTACCACTACTGTACCAGCACCCGTACTACTGTAGTACTCGTACCCGTACTCGTACTAGTACTGTTAGTTGTTCAGCTAGAATTGCTTTTCTTACTAAAACTACTACGACTACGACTGCCACTACGAGTACGACAGCGACTACTACTGCTGATACCACTGCTACTACTACTACTACTATTACTACTACTACTACTACTACTACTTCTAATGCGACTATTACTACTACTACTACTCCATACTCCATCTACTACTACTACTACTACTTCTTCTTCTACTACTACTACTACGACTAATGCTACTACTGCCACCACTACCAGTACTACTAGTCGCACAATAACTACGGCGGCTGCTACTAATGCTACTACTCATGCTAATGCTTTTGCTACAACTTATACTTCTACTTCGACTTCTACTTCTACTAATACTACTGCTACTACTACGGCTACTACTACTTCTATTTCTACGTCTACGACTACTATTTCAAGAACCACTACTACTACTACTACTGGCACTACGACAGCTATTACTACTACTACTACTACTACTACTACTACCACTACTACCTCTACGGCTACTACTATAACTACTCGTGCTACTACTATTACTACTACTACTACTACTACGACGACTACTACAACTACCACTGCTACTGCTACTGCTTCTACTACTGCTCCTACTACTACTACTACTACTACTATTACAACTACTACCACTACTACCACCACTACTATTACTACTGTTACTACTACTACTACTACTACTACTACTATGACTACGACTGCTACTGCTACTACTAATTCTACGGCTACTACACCTCTGACTATAACTACTACGACTACTACGTGTACTACTACAACTGCTACTACTACTGATACTACTACTACTACTACTACTACTACTGCTACTACTGTTACTACTACTGCTACTATCACTACTACTACTACTATTACTACTACTACTACTACTACTACTGATACTACTGCTACTGCTGCTACTACTACTACTACGACGACAACTACTACTACTACTATTCTTTTACTAATACTACTACTTCTGCAACTACTACTACTACTACCACGACTACTACTATACTACTGCTACTAGTAGTGGTAGTAGTAGTAGTAGTAGTAGTAGTAGTAGTAGTAGTAGCAATAGTAGTAGTAGTAGTAGTAGTAGTAGTAGTAGTAGTAGGTAGTAGTAGTAGTAGTAGTAGTAGTAGTAGTAGTAGTAGTAGTAGTAGTCGTAGTGCCAGTAGTAGTAGTAGTTGTAGTAGTAGTAGTAGAAATAATAATACTACAAGTACAACAACAACTCCTATTACTACTACTACTACTACAACTACAGCTACTAATACTACAACAACAACTACTACTACTACTACGACTACGACTACGACTGCGACTACGACTACGACTACTACGACTACGACGACTAATACTACTACTACTACTACCACTGCTTCTACTACGACTAGTACTAGTACTAGTACTAGTACTAGTACTAGTACTAGTACTAGCTACTAGTACTAGTACTAGTACTAGTACTACTACTACTACTACTACTACTACTACGACTACTACGACTACTACGAACTACTACTACTACTACTACCACTACTACTACTACTACTACTACTACTACTACTACTACTACTACTACGACTACTACGACTACTACGACTACTACGACTACTACTACTACTGCTGCTACTACTACTACTACTACTACTACTACAACAACAACTACTACTACTACTACTACTACTACTACTACTACCACTAGCACTACTACCACTACTACGACGACAACTACCACTACCACTACCACTACCACTACCACTACCACTACCACTACCACTACCACTACCACTACCACTACGAGTACCACTACCACAACCACTACCACTACCACTACCACTACCACTGCCACTACCACACGTGGTGTGCTCCGGAGATCTTCGACCAAAACAAATGTAATTTCTTTGGGGCGCAATCCACCTGTCCGCCATTTTCATCCGGACTTCCGCTGGCGCAGGCGGCCTCGTTTTGTTCCCGCTGGCTCCCGCTTCCCTTTCCGTCACGTTCCACCAAGGAAGTGAAGCGAAGTTCTCCACTCATCCTTCAACAGCGAGCCCCTTCCCGGGACGCCCCACGCATACTGGTCGGACTACTATTACTACGACTTCTACGACTACTACTGTTACTACTGCTACTAGTACTAGTACTCGTACTAGTAGTAGTCGTAGTAGTAGTAGTAGTAGTAGTAGTAGTAGTAGTAGTAGTAGTAGTAGTAGTAGTAGTAGTAGTAGTAGTAGTAGTAGTAGTAGTCGTAGTAATAGCACTTATCCCTCAAAAGCGAGCCCCTTCCTGGGACGCCCCACGCATACTGGTCGGACTGGGGAGGTCCTGCCGCAGCTGCTCGATCTCCACGCCTATCGCCTCGCTCTCCCGCTCGCCGCCCTTGGCGAGCACGGTGCGCAGCACCTGCACTCAATCTCTGCGCCCCTCGGCCCGCACTTTCCGCACCCCTCCTTTATCCCCTGCTCCTCTCCCTGGGGAGGGAGGGCCCCCCTCCTGCTCGCGACCGCGACTGCGACCCGCACAGTGCGCCCTGCAGGCGCCGCGGGCGGGGGCCCACGCGCCCACAAGGAGCACCCGTCATGCCGCCGCACAAGGCAGCACCACAAAACATCACCGATCAAGCCCCTCCTCGTCGCGCCGTGGAAGAACCACGGCGGGAAGGACCTCCGCGCCGTGGAAGGATAATGAGGAGGAGGAGGATGGGGAGGAGGAGGAGGAGGGAGGAAAAGGATCCTGATGATGATGATGATGATGAGGAGGAGGTGGAGGAGGGGCGGAGGAGGAGGAAGAGGAAGACGAGGAGGACGACGACGTGGAAAAAGAGAAAGGAACATCGAGAACATCGAAATTTGGATTCCATGCTTTTGGCCCTTGTCGGGGCCTCTGGAAACCTACGACGGGCTCCCGCGCTCCCGCGAGGCCTCCGCGGGAACCTCAGGAACCGTGCGGTGCCTTTTTCGGAAACCTCCGTGACGAGCCCAGGGGCCCTCGGAGACTCGTCCAGGAGGAGGAGGAGGAGGAGGAGGAGGAGGGGGAGGAGGAGGAGGCGGAGGAGGAGGAGGAGGAGGAGGAGGAGGAGGAGGAGGAGGAGGAGGAGGAGGAGGAGGAGGAGGGAGGAGAAACGCACGTGACCGAACGAGAAGGGGACGAAGCGGCGAAGACCACGACACCAGACGAAAGAGAAACGCCCCTAACTCCTGAGCCACGCGGCGAGGCCACGGCGCCGCCGAATGAACTGCGCGAGGCGAGCAACGTCGCACTTCGGAATCTCGCCTGCTGTGAAGCCTCCTCGCAACCGGAAATAACGACACGTAGTGCACGTAAAGCCAGCATGAACCGAAATGGGCGCAAACTGGGCTTTGGAGCAAGGGAGACATGCAGGCAAGGCATAGTAAGGACAACGAGGCAACAAGGAACACAAGGGGGGCGCAGGCAGGGACATCTAGATACCGAACGATCTGGTCATCCCCCCGTACCAATTTTACAAACTAATGCAAGTCTAGCTGGCTTGCGAAAAGCGGGCGCTTGCCCACCTACGGTACGTACGGTAGTATCACATATAACTCGAACGACGTAACTAACAGTCAGGGGGGGGGCAAATGTTGCAACCTAGGAGACACCATACTAAAACAAGAGACACTGGTCGCCAGGGCGTTGTGATCAAAATGGGCCAATTTTTGAAAGGCTGGCGCAGCGTGGATCGGAGATGCCAAGCTAAGCGCGCGAAGTCTGGTACTGCGTTGCGAGGGCGGAGCTGTTGTCATCGGGGGCTGGGCAACCTGGGGTTTGTACCTCCACTTATTTGATCAAGCTAAATGGGATGGCCGTTCGAAAACAACGAACCGCGTAGACCTGTCGCAAACATATCGAATCAAGTTCGGAAATCGGATCGAAACAAGACGAGTCGGTTCGACGCGATAGACAAATGACCGTTTCGTGCGAGACTCCAGCGTACAGATGAGGTGGAACCCGGTTCGAGTCGGCTCGGAGCAATGAGACCATTACCGTTTCGCGCGGGCTTTCTTCGAGAAGATGACTTGGAACCAAGCTCGAAATCGGATCGAAACAATAAACAAGTGAACGTTTCGGGCGGGGCGTCTTCGAAAAACGAAGTGGAGCTCAGTTCGGAACAGGTTCAAAACAGTAGGAACGCAATTTCGGGCGGTCTTTCTTCAAAGATATGACTTGGAACCGCCTTCGAAGTCGGTTCGGAACAATAGGAAAGCAAACGTTTCGCGAACAACTTCCTCGAATATATCACTTGGAACCCGGTTCCAGACAAGCTCGAGTTCGGCGAAACGAGAGCGCCGCATTTGCAACTTTGTGCCAAACTTCAATCGCGCCCAAGTAGTCACTCCATGATGAAAGTGGGGAGCCCAACTCATTAGAACCCGCCTAGCATCTCGCGTGCTCATGTTCCCGCGGACCAGCTCCGCCTTCATCTGGAGCTCCCTCCTGGAACCGAGCTCTGGCATGCCCACTCCGCGCGGCCTGGAGGAAGTATAGGCTTTCGCGCATGTGGAAGAACAGGATCGTGCGTGTGTGTGTGTGCGTGTGTGTGTGTGTGTGTGCGTGTGTGCACCGCGGGCTACTTCGCCAAACTATGGCACAATCCTCCGCTTAGGCAATCTCGTCAACCATGCGGCAAATGTCGGGGGGCGCCCGAGAATGCACGGGGGCCTCGATGCCTGGCCCGTCCGCCCTGCAGCGCAAGAGTGCCGAGCCCGGGCTTCGAGGCCGGCATGCCGAGTGCGCGCCGCGCGATGCGGCGCTCCTCGGGGGGCATCTGTGAGGCTCTGGAGGGTTCGACACTCCTGCTTCACGGCGCACTGGGAAGGAGAGGCATCGCCCAGGCACGAGAACGCGCAATTACACTTCGTTGCGCAGAGCAGTCTCGAGTGGCCCATGCTTGAGCGCCTGGCACTCGCGAGCTCGCCGAAGCGCTTCGTTGGCTGGGGCTTCCCCGGCTCTCAACGCCCGACCCCTGTCTCCCGCGTCGCCGAGTGTTTGCCGCAATCCCCCGGCGCGATATCAATGGATATGATGCCGCGCATCGAGAGAAGCCAGTCGAACTCCGCTGGGCTGAAACTTCTCGCGAGCGCGACGACGCGCATCGGCGCGTCGAGTGCTAGTCCAGCAGCTCGCCCAGCAAGTCTGAAAACAGGAAGACAGACGGCCGACGCCGTGACTACGTCAGCCGCGCCAGCCCCAAGGTCGCCCGCGAGCGCAGCTGCAGCACCGAGGTGCGCGGGGAGACGAGAGCCAAGCATGGGCTGTATCCAGCCAGCCGCGATGGAGTAGAATGTTCCTGGGGGAGGACGCCCCTGTTGAATGCACTTTCGCGCTTTGAGCGAGCTCCCGCGAACGCCTCCGAAACGTCACCTCGGCCCAGACTTCGCCGCGTGGGCGGCCCCGTCTGCGACGCCGAAGGCACCTGGCATTCGGGGAAGTAGCGGGTGCAGCAAGGACGGAAAGGCAGCCTTGACATCGAGGAGGAGGCAGCCCGCGCGCAGTTGAAATGCTGGCCAGCTCATGCGAAGGCGTAACCTTCAGGCTGATCACCCAGTGTCGTCTAGGGGTAAAGCCGCACTGGATGAGGTCGCAACGATGCACGGCGACAAAGGACATGGGCTGGTTGAGGGCCTTCGAGGTCAGCTTGTTGTCGCATGCTGTCGCTACTTGCAAGGGCCAGCTGGCGAATGTCCTCGGGGGCCCAAGCCGTCGCAAAGGAGTCCTCAGGAACGTCGGATTTCACCGGGGGGGCCCGAAGAGCGTCGTTGAAGTTGCCACTTCTCCTGTCCCCATCCAAAGGAGCACGGTGCGCCCGATAGAGCACCCCAGTAGCTGCCGAACCAACACTCCACAAACAACTGCACGGTGGCCCGTCAGGACTGACCATGGCTCCAAACTCGTCGGGGTCCACGATCCACGGCGCATTCCGTGGCAACTCTGGGGCGGACAGGCGCGGCTGGTCGCATTCGCCATGCGAAACTTCCCCTCCCCTGTTGCGCACTGCCCCCTGGCGCTGAGTCAGCGAGTCGCGCGCCTGTTATGGATCTGCGATCCTGGCGCCGGTGGGGCCTGCGACAATTCCAAAAAACTGCGACAGCAAACTGCGTGCGCCTTCGAAGGCGAGGCTGCTTCCGACCTCTGGGCTTCTCGCTTTCGTGCGTCTCCTGCGCTCGCTCGCGGGCGGGGCGGCGGCTGATTGCTGCCAGATGGGAGTGGCATCAATGAACGTCAATCCACTCTGCAGCGCCCCTTCAAGTGAAATAGATCGTTGAGCTTAGAACTCGCAACGCGCGCCCACCTGACAGTGGCGTCCTCGCCAACGGCCAAAGCTCGCAAATCGGCCGAGAACAACCAATGCACTCGGGCACGGTGGTGGGCCCACTGAATTCGAGCCGCCGCTTGAAGCGTAAGGTCGCGAGCGGTGAGATCGAGGTCCCTTCCCCCCTCGCCCTGGTTGGTCGGTTGGTTGATTGGCGCGCTTTCGTGCGTGCCGGCGGCGCGGGGCCGCTCGGAGTGCGTCTGGGCGCGTGGCCTGGTGCACGCTGGGTGTCTCTGGTGCGCCCTTGCTAACGCTGGGCGGTTCCAGTCACCAAACCCTTGCTGTCGCTGGGTTCCATTGGTGCGCCCTGTCCCCGAGCTTCCATGAGGCTTCCAAAGGCTCTTCAAAACGCGCAATGGAAGTCGGAGCGGTTGGCGAGCCAGCCGGGGGCCATCGGCGGACCACCAGGACCAGGCGCACACAGGGTGAGACAAACGCATCTATAATCCGAGGGCTGCCCCCAATCGAACGGGCGCCCCAGAAGCGGGCCGTTGGGCGCTGGGTCGAGCTCGACAGCGCGCATGTTCGCATGAATGCGTGCGCGTGTATCTATATAGATACAGACATCCCATTCAACTGGCCAGCCGACATACTTTGCTCGCCACGCACAACCCTGTGCGTCGCAAGAGGCTGCTCGGCCTCCTCACATTTAGGAAACAGCCTCGAGAACTCAGCCCCCGCGTTCCTGGGAGCACGCGGGTTTTGGTCCAAGGAACGAAGTTCCAGGCCCCGCAGATGAACGCCGCAGCCCTAGAGGCCAGCAGGATCCTGCGTTAGATGCGCACGGAGAGTTGCATCTGTCCATTGACGCCGAGGCCTGGGTCGACGCGGGCGTTCAGAACCTGCGACGAGGCCCTTGCCCCATGCAAACAGATGTAGATAAAGAACCAATCGGACAAGGAATCCAGGGTCTGGAAGCCGGCGGAGTTCCCATCGCGGCTGGGCCGTGGATATCACTGCCGCCCCCATCAGACAAGGGATCCCCCAGGGCCTGGAGCCTCCTGGGCACGAGCCTCAACGAGCGCCCCCACTGTGCGTGCGGGCGCAGGACCGCGCGGCACCCCGCCAGATCAAGGTTTTCGACGAGCTCAAGGCCCACCGCGGCCATGAACTGTCCTGGCACGGCCAGGCGCTGGGCGCGGCGCTGGCCCCTCCTCGCAAGGCTCCTGCTGGCGCTGCTGGAGGCGGCCCTGCCGACTCTCTCGTTCGCTGCGACGCGGCGCAAGGCGGCCCCCCTCAGCATGGTGCTCGGGGAGGACCGCGCTCTCCGTGGGAGTCGGGCTGATCAGGCTCTGAGGCATGCTGCTGGAGAGGACGGTGCCGTTTTGGCCCGCGGCGTGGCGGGCGGAGCTGGGAACGCGGAGTGCGTCGCCGCCGAGGCGTTGCCGGCTGCCGGCGCGGCGCACGCCGCGCGGCCCGTGCTGCTGCCGCCCCGATGGCTCGGGCTCGCTGCCGCCGCCTCGCCGCTGGAGCCACCTCGGCGCGGCGAGGCTCCCCGCGCCGCGTGCGCGCAGGCGTTCGGCGGAGGTCCTGAGCAGGTCGAGCGAGGCCGAAGCGTGTCGAGGCCGCCACGGTGGTCGCAGGCTCGAAGCCTCGGCGATGCTCCTGGCGCCCCCCTGCAGTCGCGGGCCGCGCAGCTGCCGCAGCCCGCGCGGGGGCTCGCGGTGCCGCCGCGTCGCCGCGTCGCCGTCAGAGGCTGCTGTTCGTGTGCGTCGGCCTGGCGGCTGCAGCGGTGCCTGGCGCCGAGGAAGTCGGACTGCTGCGGCATGGGCCTCAACGTGGTACTCTTCTCTGTGGCCCGGCCAGTCCAAAGTGAATCCGCCTCTTCTGAGGGTCAGCACCGCTGAGAACTCCGATGAGCTCCGACAACAGTTTACTTATTCAGCTTTGAATTTTGACGCGAGTTGTGGAGAGCGAGCAGGGCGCTGCGCGCGCGCGCGAGGGGAATCCCTTTTCTGGGAGATTTCCGAGCGCAGTCTGCCCGCCCCCACTTAACATCCCAGCGACTGGTGCGCTCGGATCGGGATCGCGGGATCCTGGCATCGTCCCCCAAAAATCAGACTATTCTGATCCAGCTGATTCCCACAAACTCCCGTCGAAACAACAATCGTTTCTCGACATCCCGCGCCATTGGCAAAAGGCCCCGGGAACTCCCGAAGCCCGCATCGCGTCGCCGCGAAGCTTTCGAAGCGCCGATAAGGGACCTCCGTCGACCATCCCACCATCATCGTCGACAATTGCCATCCTCCTTGCTGCGCCGAGCCTCCTCACAGGGACCAAGGTCTGTGACGTTTGCGGTGCGTTCCTGGAGGGACGCAGCAGGATCCACCAGCGTTCTGCGCTCACAAACACGTGAACTATCGCCATTTTGAATGCCATGCCCATGTCAATTTCTGCTCCGACGACGCAGGCGCCACTGAGGTTCGCTCGGGAACGAGTGCATGCTCGAGCCCCCCAACAAAAACGCCAGCTCGAGCCAATTGCTATGGATGCCATTTTTCCGATGCTTTCGAATTGCCAGCGGAGAGCCGAAACATCGGAAGCAACAACCTTCCCCTGTAATAGTCAGACAGGGGGCGTTCAGCTTTCGATGCCCTTGTTCGTTTTGTCATGGATGTGTGGAGTGTGGCCTCGCGGCGGCGACGGTTGCCATCGAGCAGACCCCTCCTCTGAAATTGCACGACTCCGCGGTGATGCTGTACATTCAAACCTGGAGTAAGACAGCGGCCGTAGGGAGCAGCGTGACTGCGCCCCTTCGGGGGGTCAATCCCGCACCTCCCACTGGAGAGAGCTCCAAGGGCTCCTAACTTCGCGCTTCGCGCTGCGCGAGAGCGCGAAGTGCGAATAACTTCGCGCTCTCGCGCCACCTCCCAGGGGAGAAGTGGAGGGTGAGGAGGAATCGGAGCCGAACCGCGAAGCGCGAAGCGCGAATAACTTCGCGCCCTCGAGGGCGCCCTTGGAGCTCCTTGGGGAGTGGCTGGGCGTGTCGATAGTCCTGTCGAGCGCTCTATGTTCTCTTCCGCCGCGCGCTCTCTGAAGCGCCGCATGCCCGCTGGGCCGCGGGCTCCCGTCTTTGACAGGAACTTCGTTTCGATCGCATTTCTCGCTTTCCTCGGATTATCCTCCCTTCTCCCTCCCTCCCTCCTCCTCCCTCCGCTCTCCTCCTCATCCTCCCCCTCCTCCTCCTCCTCGTCGTCGTCTTCGTCGTCCTCCTCCTCCTTCTCATTCTCCCCATCCTCCTCCTCCTCCGCCTCCGCCTCCGCCTCCGCCTCCTCCTCCGCCTCCTCCTCTTCCTCCCCCCCGAGGCCGCTCATTTCCACCCGCGCGGGCGGCGCCCACTTCTTCTTCTTCAGGCTGGCAGTCTCGCTGCGAAGCTGCACGCACTCCAGCACCAGCTGCGAGTGGAGCTTCTCGACCTTCTCCCCTATCTTGGTGGCCTCCACCTAGCGCGGCGGAGTCATCGGCTCGAGGATTGAGGCTCGAGATCCCAACGCTGGCGGCGCTCGGATGGGGCGATCGCGGGGAGCACGCATAGTCTCTGGCCCCTCTCGGATCTACGCGACCGTCCCCCGTACTGCTGGCGTCCGCCTGCGCTTCAGCACCGACCCCTGACGCTAGCGGCCTCGGAAAGGGGGTGGAGGGCGGCTGGGACAGGGAGGCCCTGACCTCAGGAGGAGGAGGAAGAGGAGGAGGAGGAGGAGGAGGAGGAGGAGGAGGACAAGGAGGAGGAGAAGGATGAGGATGCGCAACAGGACCAATGTAAACCCAAGGCCCAAGACTCATCAACGATGTTCCCTTCGAACTCCCTCTTCACAAGTCCCTACAAGGGATCATTTCCACTAATGGAATTGCCCTCTAGGGGGACAACCGTGTGAAAATCCAGAAGCGTGCCAAAACACTATTCTCATAACTTCAACGCCATGAGTTGACCTGACTGGTACGTCTTGGCGATCCGGAACCGCGCAAGAACGTCATTCCTGGGACGTCAACACCGCGAACCGGCGCAACTGTTGCGCCATGGCCGCCATGATAACCCTGACTCGTTCCAAAACACAGTTTCTGTTATGTGCGTAAACCATGATTATCAGTGACACTCCTGCGAATGTTTAAAGCGAATGTGTGCGAACGATGAAAAAGAATGTGCGCGGCGCTAGGGCGAGAACCATCATTTCAAAACCGCCCGCCCTCAATCCGTGAACCTCTTCTCTAAATGTTTGGAACGACTGTGCGCGGCGCTAAGGTGAGAGCCACATTGAATACGACCCGCCCTCAATCCGTGAAGCTCTTGTAAATTATGAGTCGTCTGTGCGCGGCGCTCATGCGAGAATCACATATCGAAAACGACACGCCCTCAATCAGTGCGACTCTTGCAAATTTCTGATGTGCGCGGCGCTGGGGCGAGAGCCACATGTTGAAAGCCACCCGCCCTCCATCAGTGAAACTGCTGCCAATTCTTAAGCTTCAGGATCATCAGTGGTGAGTGAGTCTCACGCGAAACGCCCAGCCCGCCCTTTCGACCAGCCTTGGGGTGCGACAGGGAGGAGTTTTCTATAAGGAAAAGGAGTGGAGGAGGAGGAGGAGGAGGAGGAGGAGGAGGGGGAGAAGGAGGAGGAGGAGGGAGAAGAGCGAGGAGGAGGAGGGGGATCATGGGGGAGGAGGGGGAGGAGGAGGGCCTCTGGCCCCTCCACGATGTCGACCGTCTCCTCCCCCGTCCTGCTGGCCTCCGTCGGCGGGCCGCGGGGGCATCGGACCTCGGCGCCCCGCGACTTTCCCCTGGGAAGGGGGCGGGAGCGGGGAACTTTTTTGATCTGCAGGGCGAGAGCGACCTCTTCCGCTGAAAGCTAAGCGGGACGCGCACAGCTTTAATTAGCAGAGAAAGGGCGGAAGAAGGCGGGGCCTCACGCGGCCGGGAGAGGGCGAAACCCAGGGATCAGGCGGTGCCGAAGTTGACGTGTAGGAAAAGGTGCACCTTGGACAAGAGCCCGGTGGTGAAGTCCCGTAACGGGAATGGGGAACACGATCCCCAGGCAGCCGACGGCTTGATGTTTTCACGATGGGGTCACCGCGCCCGACCCCGAATCCACGGGGTCCCCGCGGGTCCCCTCCCGCGCGTGGCATTCACACGGCCAACGCGAGCGTGTCCGAGGAAGGGCCTCTGGGCCCCCCCCCCGCCAGGGGGGGCCCGAGGGCGCCCGACTTTGCGCTTCGCGAAGCGCGAATCACTTCGCGTTCTCGCGCCGCCTCATGGGAGGAGGAGGAAGAGGAGGAAAAGAGGAAGAGGAGGGAGGCGGAGGGAGGAGGAGCAGGAGGAGGAATATGAGGAGTTGGTTTACTGGTGTGTTGGTAGATTGGAGCATGAAGGTGGAGGTACGTTTGGACCCCTCCCTGCAGCCGTCTTCGTTGGCCGAGGGGCTGCAGGGAGGTCCTCGGCCCCCTCCATTGGCTATTGACGCCGTAAAGTATTGGTGTAATGGTGTATTGGTGGGAAAGGGCGACCCCCGCGGCCCTTATGATGGCAGCCGCAGGGGGTGTGAGGCCTACGGTGGTCCTCACTGGTAAGGCCTATGATGGTCCTCACCGGGGTGGGGGTGGGGGAAGAGGGCATAAAGTCGAAGCGGATGTCCGGCAGCAACGTCCTGGGGGGATACCTGAAAAGGGGACTTAAAAACAACGTCTGTCCTCCGCCTATGTTCCAGAGGAGCCCCGTTCAAAAAGCAGAGGCAGAGAGAGAGAGAGAGAGGGAGAGAAGAGAGAGAGGGAGAGAGAGGGAGAGAGGGAAAGAGAGAGAGAGAGAGAGAGAGAGAGCGAGGCAAAGACGAGGACAAATGTGCACGCCTCGGGGGGGGGTCGGCCCCCGGACCCGGAAGATACGAAATACACAAATTTCGTATCACAAGGTAGCTGGCAGCGAAGCTGCATCATGGCACCCTGGGAACGTGCAGCGGCAGGGATGCACCGCCTGGCGTGCGAAAGCGACACGTGGTGACGTCAACCCGGCCGAAGCCCAGTGACCAGAGGAGGCCCCCAGAGGCCGACAAGGGTCACAGGCCAGAGGTATCCACGACCTGTACCCCCCCCGCGGGCGCGATTTATTTTCTCCGCCAGCGCGGAGGGACCGGTACACCCAACAGCACGGAGATCCGACAGCGGATAGGCCGGTGCACCCAAAAAAACATGGATGGATCGGTACACCCAAAGGCACTGATTGGCTTTATCCCACGGGGTGGAGTACCCGCAGGGGCATACACCCGTAACCCACGACACACACACACACACGCACACACACACACACACACACACACACACACACACACACACGCACACACACACGCACACGCACGCACGCGACCACGCACCCCGGGGGCACACGACGAAAAAGACACAGCAAGAAGAGGACGCCTCGAACCTCGGAGCTGCGGCCAAAAGTCCTGACAGGGGCACCTGAAACGGGATACCTGAAAGAGGGAAGCGGCCTGACCGGGGGACCTGAAGCCGAAGGAAAACGACAGGGGGGGACGATCCAAGGCGGCCCCTGGACAGCTCTCGGCGAGGGCCGCTGCTCCGGACGTGTAGATTGGACGGCGGCTATACCCATCCACGAAGAAAGGCGGGGGGGGGGGGGGGGGAGGAGGAGGAGGGAGGGAGGAGGAGGAGGAGGAGGAGGAGGAGGAGGAGGAGGGAGGAGGAGGAGGAGGAGGATGAGGAGGAGGAGGAGGAGGAGGGGAGTAGGCCCAGCCGCACACCTGCGCCCCAAGTGGCACACGGAGGTGGCTGGGAGGGTTTTACATACCCGTCCTTGGAGAGCTCGGCTTAGGGGCGGGGAGCGGGAACGACCTCATGAGTGACGCCGCGGCGGCACATGTGACACCGCGGCGGCGCGGGTCGAACCGTCACCCTTGGTGCGCTGGTGCACTGGGTTGGCAACTGACGCCGCAGAGTAATAGATGACTGACATTGACAGGCACTGTCAGCCGGCAGGGGATAAATCCCGTTCACGGCCCCATGGAGGAATATGAGCAATTGGTTTACTGGTGTGTTGGTAGATTGGTGCATGAAGGTGGAGGTGCGTTTGGACCTCTCCCTGCAGCCGTCTTCGTTGGCCGAGGGGCTGCGGGGAGGTCCTCGGCCCCCTCCATTGGCTATTGACGCCGTAAAGTATTGGTGTAATGGTGTATTGGTGGGAGAGGGCGACCCCCGCGGCCCCTATGATGGCAGCCGCAGGGGGTGTGAGGCCTATGATGGTCCTCACTGGTGAGGCCTATGATGGTCCTCACCGGGGTGGGGGCGGGGGAAGAGGGCAGAAAGTCGAAACGGATGTCCGGCAGCAACGTCCTGGGGGGATACCTGAAAAGGGGACTTAAAAACAACGTCTGTCCTCCGCCTATGTTCCAGAGGAGCCCCGTTCAAAAAGCAGAGGCAGAGAGAGAGAGGGAGAGAAGAGAGAGAGGGAGAGAGAGGGAGAGAGGGAGAGAGAGAGAGAGAGAGCGAGGCAGAGACGAAGACGAATGTGCACGCCTCGGGGGGGGGGCGGCCCCCGGACCCGGAAGATACGAAATACACAGATTTCGTATCACAAGGTAGCTGGCAGCGAAGCTGCATCATGGCACCCTGGGAGCGTGCAGCGGCAGGGAGGAGGAGAAGGAGGAGGGAGGCGGAAGATGAGGAGGAATCGGAGCCGAGCCGCGAAGCGCGCATAACTTCGTGTCCTCGTGGGCGCCCTTGGGGCTCCTGTGTCCTGGCCCGAAATGGGGGGCGCGCCCCCCCTTTACCGCCCCCCCCGAACATCGGCCGAGAGCGAGGGAGCTCGGCCGAGCTCGGCGCCCGCGCGCACCTTCAAGTCTGGGAGGCCGTGAGATGCCTCAATGAAGGGGCCCAGGGACACACAAGTAAACTGACACAAGTCCCAAGATCCCCGACATTTTCATTTATTTTCTGCTGGATTATCGTCATCCCTCCCACTCATTATATTTTCCTATTTTCCTGGGGACCGACGATTATTAGTGTCAGTGTTTTTTCCCCTCCTGAAAGCAGGACTGGTCATCATCGAAGTGGGAAATTTGATCGAGTCGGGACGTGCGTCAGGTCGGGCCGCATTGCGGGTAAGACTTATGTTCATATCCATTGCGTCTCGGAGTTTCGGACTCCCTTCCCTAGAAAACCGAGACACAATGGATACGAATAAAACCAGGCCTCCAGCGATACCTGACTTGTATCCACGTCCACTGCGTCTCTGGTTTTGGGCATCCCTTCCCCGAACATCCAAGACGCCGTGGATATGGATAGAAATCTTGTCCGCGCACGTCGGCACGGAGTCGGAATCGAATCGGATCGGCCGCGCCAGGGCGCGCAGCAGCGCCATGCGAACATCAAGAATCGCATCGGACTGTCAGCAACTCCGGAACCGAATCGGACTGGGCGGCGCCGGCCTGCGTCGATACCGGAT